CAAGGCCAGGCTGGAGGGGGCCTTGCGCAGGCTTCTCTAGTGGTTGGCAACCCTGCCTACAGCAGGGGGGTTGAAACTAGATGATCTTTAAGGTCCTTTTCAACCCAGGCCATTCGATGATTCTATGATTCTCCCGTAGGCCCCCTTTAAGTACTGGAAGGCTGCTCTAAGGTCTCCCTCAAGCCTTCTCTTCTCCAGACTGAACAACCCCAACTCTCTCAGCCTATTCAATTACACATCTATTAATAGGTGTATTTCATTTGTGGAAGATGTTACCTCAACTTGAAGAATTATGAACTGAGAGCTTAATCAGCCATCTAAGTACTTGTGAATATAATTTGTAAGTATAATGAGTTAATTTTTTCTCCTAACTCATACCTTCATGCCCCCCAATAATTGCACTGCTCAAGTGGAAATGCGGCCTACATGTGTCCCTGTATCTTGACAGCAGTTGGGAAGTCACATCAGATTGCACAAGTGCCCAAGTTAGCTATCTCAGGGCAAGATGGCCTCTGCCTCGTGCTGTTTGGTCAAACATCTAACATCTTAGTGAAATAGGGGCTGGATTGTTCTTGGAATGGAAACCTGGGGCCAAAACTCTGCCAATTTTCCACCTTCCTGACCTCGGATCTCCAAGAAAGAGGTCAAAATACTCCAAACACAAATTTTGGAGCAGCCTAAATACAAAGTTGATGAGGTGTTTTTGCAATCACTTTTTAGTCAAAACCAGCGAGACTGTCTGACTTCCAGTCTCACTGAACTCTCTTGCATCCCAATGAAGACCCTCTTCCTCGGGAAGGATGAGAAGGGGATGGTATAAGGCAGGCTGTGCCCAGGGTACCCCTTCCTCCCTTGAGCCAGAGTACTTGGCTCTTCGCTGTTCGCTTTCTACACATGCAGTTTATAAAATTCAACTGCTGAGGAAAACTGGATGTCAGTGGCATATTTTCCTCTTTCTGCAGACAAAAATTTCTTATCAGTCTGATGCATAAAATGGCAGGTGGGGTAGTGTGCTCTCTGAGCTGGCAGGCTGGAGGAGCTGAGGACGTCTCATCATATGCCACTTTGGACAAGAGAGAAATGGCACACAATGGAACAGTTAAAAGGTAATTTCCACATAAAGAACTCGGGACAGGAAATCTGGCTGACAACAAATAGATTGGAGATAGGAGGGAGCACCAGTCAGTCACCATAGACATGTGTTATCTTCCAGGAAAACACAGCCGAAGAGGAGAAGGGGCTGGAGGATCAGAGCTTGCTGAGAGCAGAGCAGAACAGAGGGCTCAGGCAGTGACATCCAGTCACCATGTGTGTGGCAGGAGGAGAATTTACAAGGTATTTTTAAAGTATGCCCTTGCATTTATTTGTACCAGACATGTGATGAAACAAGAATAAACCTTCTTTACTAGTGATGTTTTGTTGTCATTTGTCTATGTGTTTACACAGCATTGCTTCATGGCTCCATAAACAACATTCTGTGGCCAACTACAGCAGTGATGAAGCTGTAAAATATGTGCCAAAGTAACAGGTGAATTATGTTTTTAAAGCCACTAAATTGTTTCTATTGAGTTTGAATTCAGAACAGATTTATTCTCATTATCATTGTTATTATTACCATTATCTTTATGACTGTGACATACAGAGGTTGTCACAGAATAAAAGATGTCTCTTGCCCTGCAGAGAGTCATTATTTAAATTTAAAACAAGAGTTTATTAATAACACCAGAGAGGTGAAGAGGGATCTTCAAGGAAACAAGTGCTATTGGGCCAGATGGGAGGGGATATCGGGTTGCCAAAAAGGACAAGCTTTTCTGTTTTTTTTTTTTTTTTTGTAGATATTATGTAATAGAAAGTCAGAAGGAGTATTTTGAATTACAGCAAGATAGATTAGAAGATGTTTATGGCATTATCTCCTCAGCATGGGTGCGAATGGAAGAGATTCATCACAAATGTGTTTGGAATTTAGAAAGCAGGAGATTGGAAACTGTAGAGCAATCAAAGACAGCAGTGGTCTTTGAAGAATTGAGTGACAGGTGACAGGCAGAGTAGGGACTGGCCATGAAAGGCTTTGCAAATAGAAATGTCACTTAAATTTAGTGAGATAGAGATGCAGGACGCAAAGACATGGAAAATAATAGGTAAGTGGTAGCACTCTGAACAGATAAGGGGAAAAATGTGTTTATCAAAGCCAGACGAAAATATGTTGCAACAACTAAGACGAGCTGATTATGAGAGCTGCTGTGTGGATGGACTGCAAGCATGACATTTATGCAATGCACTTCAGGGTGGACTTCAGGATGTCAGGAGATTCAGAGAAGCTACAGATGAAGTTGATGACCAGGCAAGTAAAACAGTCACCAGGCTATAGAGCTAAGGGCCAAAACAGAATATGATGCTTGTCACTTCAGAACAGGATTCTTCTTTCCTAAGTTTAGACACCTAATTGGCCTTTCTGGAGTGTCAATTATCTCATCCTCAGACAGGGCCATTTGCTGGGTAGCTCTCTGGTAGTGCCTATTCCTGTCATTTGGTCGTAAGAGGAACATACATAGACACCCATCTTATAGATGTTTATGTTGAAGCAGGAGAATTAAACCTATGGGTAGGATTCCCTTTTTTCATCCATAGATATCTATGGCAGAGATCTTTATTTCTGAATTAATTATATTAGACTCCCTTTGTGCTCACTGGGGAGAAACAAGGACACAATTCATTTGACCTATTTTGGTTTAATCTCATTTGAATAAGAAAAATTGTGTCCTAGAGGTGCCTATTAAGGGAGCTTATGGTGACAAGCTCAGATATAAATACTCCTATTCTGGATGTCCTAAAGTGCCACCCTTCAAATGTGTAAATAAATATACCCTGTAGCCAGATTTCAGAGATTCATTAGGTCATTGGTAAGATCTGCTTTACTCCCACAGCCTGGGTGGCCTAAAGGGCATAGTGATCACATAGTTGTCCTTCAGCATGGGCTGGCATTGGGTGTAGCTAACTTCTCAGGCTTCCCTCCATGCCTCCCCATGGCAGGTCTGTCTCGGAAGAGGGCAGATGGGGGGACAGAGCGCAGTGTCCTCAGCCAGGGACAGCTGCTGCAGGAAGGTAAAAGGTGACCACAGCCCTGATCACAAAGGGTTTGAATAACATTTGCAGAATGTTCTCTGTTCACTCCCACAGCCCTGCCAGTAGCTCTTACGAGCTGAATGGGAAGTGCTATCCCCCACAGGTGGCATTTAGCGTGCCTGGGACAGTCAAGTAATGGAAGGTCTCTGGCATGGGAGAGAGGACAAAGGAAAGAGTCATTTCCTAATGCAGATCTGTTGGCGACAACAGACCCACTCCAAAAGACTCTTGGTTTGTCCCCAGTTCCTTCCCCTTCCCACCGGCTGCACTTGCCTTTTCAGCCGCCCTGTCTCCATTGTCTGTGCAGAGGGGCAGAAACCTCCAGTAGGGCAGCTGCAGTGACCATCCTTCACTGTTTTTTCTTAAATCAATTACCATTTGTGCCTACAAGGCAAAATTAACAACTCCAGCTGCCAGTGGATGCAAGCTGAAGAAAGTGATAAAAACATTAAAGACCTAAGCCTGAAGCAAAGAATTTAAGCCAGACTTAGGAGATCTCTGCCTCACATGGGACATGGGTATTGTTCTGGGTCTCATTTCTGTGTCTTTGCTCCTTGTTTAATTGTAGGCCTTCTCACAGTCAGAAAACAAGAGTACGAAAGGACCTGTCTGGAGCATATGGAAGTACTTTGGGAAAAGCAGAGGTTTCAGAGAGCTGAATGGTAGCATTTGTCATAGAACTGTCCAGGGAACAGCTCATTAATTGAAGTAAATTGAAGTGCACATTCTTAGTGGTATATCTGTATAGTTAAATTATAGTAAGTGACTCCTACTTAATTACGCCATAATTTTTGCTACTGGATTTAGTGGAAATGTGTTTCAAAGGGAGTCATTAACTATGACAGAAAGTGGAAAAAACCCACCACTGAGCTCTTTCCACTTTGCGATAAGCCAAGTCAATAGGGAAAATCTTTTGGTGCTTCTCACTATTTCTACATAATATTTTTACATGCCATTACCTGTATCTAGCAATCAAAGATTTCAGATTAATTTCCTCACATTCACACTGAGCTGAAAGCCTGTTTTGTTTCCAGATGGATTAGTCCTCTACACTGGGTCACTGCCCATGCTGGGGAGAAGCATAAGAACAAGTGCCAGATTACAGCTGCGAAGGGGGGATGGTTTCTTTTTGGCCACTGCTGATTGACAGTGTTAATTAAATTATGCCCTCATGGGGCGACTTTGTGGCAGATTAGGACAACCTAAATGTGGGCTGCCCTTCACAGCCCCTGCCACACTTTTATAAGCATGTCTCCCCAAAACTGCTCACTACACCATGAACTGCAGGAGCACGAACCCTGCTGCATGGGGGATGATGGGGACAGGGATCAAAGAAAGAGACTAGAAAGTGAGTGGACAGTAGCCCAGAGTCATAGAATCATTTAGGTTGGAAAACACCCTTAAGATCATTGAGTTCAACCATTAAAAACAGTGTTACCACCCAGTTTCAAACCAGGGACCTTTCACGTGTTAGGTGAATGTGATAACCACTGCACTATGGAAACTCCAGTTAAAAGGGTTAAATTGCAGTGGAGATGTGCTTCTGGGTAATCTGAGGGTTGTGTTCTGATTTGGAGACACACAAGATGGGAAATTATTATCAAGATGTGGAAGAATTTATTTTGAGATTTTTGCTTTATTTTGTTCTGTTTGTCTCCAGCTCTCAGGTTTTGGGTGGGAAGCTTTCTCTCTGAGGCCATTTCTGTGTGGAAAAACATAAATATGACCAAGTTTGCTTTCATCATAATTAGAAATATTGTTAGTGCTTAAACAAAATCTGACATTCCAAATGCAGCTGGTGTTGCTATTCCCATTTTTCTCTTACCTTTCTTCTCATTATTTAAAAATAATAGATCAAGTGTTAACAAAGTAAACTGCAATCTGTTCAGTGTCCTCTTCCCAAACCTGTCATTGACTCCTAGCCCTGTTCCTCTGACCTTTCTTGCTCTCCTGAATCACTTAAAGTCTAAGCAGCAAAATGTGTAGACTTCACTGTGAATGCTCTCCAGGCCACCCTGGGGGCTTATGTGTACAGAGGGTTTATGTGCAGAGAGGGTTTGTGTGCACTGCAGCCTGTCATCCCACTGACCTGGATTAGCTAGCTCAGGTACTGGTGATGGTGTGACTGCACTGCAGAGGACAAACTGTTCTCACTGATCACATAACATCCACACTGTCAAGGTCTGCTATTAATAATTGTGATTAATATCACTAAATTTTATTTATGCTCCAAAGAGTTCTGGGAGTGAGGGAAAGAAAGTTGTCAGGAAGGGTCGGGAGGCATGGCTGAGAAAACATTTAGGAACTGCCTGGGAGGAGAGGCTTGGTGGATTTTGCAGCTGGTTTCCCCGAGCCCTTGTTTTCATTACATTAAAAGGAAACTCAGAGAGAAAGGGGTTTTTCCAGTTCAATTGATGCTTTAGAGAAGATAAACATGACTTTCGGCTCTCATTTTCATTCCCAAAGAACATAAAAGAGAAAAAGAAGAGCCTAAGAGTTACGATGGGAAAAGAAGAGATGACTGATAACTCCCCTGTTACCAGGGCAAGTATGAAACTGAAGGAAAAAACCTCAAAACCACACACATAAGTTACCCCTATACGCTTGTCCCTCAGCAACATAATTCCATTTTAGCAGAGGCTGTTTTTTTTTTTAGCTTTCAATACACATGAAATTAAGGACCCAAGTAAATATTTTTTAAATTAGCTCCTCTGAAAGTGGTTATTGATGCACAAGCAGTTGGTGGGGCTTCTGGGGACATGTAAGCGACCTAACAGTAAAAGCTCTGTGCTAGAAAAATGAATGGCACAATGACCAGGATTAAGAGTACTGCCCAGGTGGTATACATAAACCTTCCTGCTCTCCTTTATTTACAGGGAGAATTTCCACTCTTCCTGGTGGAAGAATATTTGCAGACATTTCACTAAGATGTTATTGTAGGCTGCTTTCATTGCTTTCATTAGTGAAGTTGTAAGTAAATGAGGCATTGGGTGCCTTTAGCACAATGGTAGTACATTTTCCAGGAGCACAGAGAGCTTGGCTAAAGCTACAGTGTAGACCAAGACCTTTCATCATGCGCCCTTCTGTTTAGTGACTATATCCTAATGTGCATTCATTGCAAATCTAACCTCTCTTTCCTACATCTATATTGAATCATTGGACTATATACGCCAAAAATCTCCTGAGTTTGTATTCTTGAATTAAAGAAAGGGTTTGATTACTTAGCTTATCTCTGCTATCTCTGATCCTGAAGGAACATTGCCAGGTAAACAACTTTCCACCACAGGTTTTTTAAAGATATATAATATCTATTTCACTTAAATATTCATGATTTAGTAAAGTGAAGCCAACTAAAGAAAAGAGGCTCTGCTTTGAAGCACTACACCAGACAGTACACGAGATACAGGTAAGTGACACCATAACAACAAGGTAATAGCCCATTTATTAAACTCTAGCCATATTTGGGGGGGTCTTCAAGAAAGGCAGAACCTAATTAACTCATTACCAGGGGTTGCCAGTGGTTTAGGTTATTTATACACATTTACATTTAAAAATTACAGAGATTGCAATACTGCAGTCATCATGTTTTTTGAATACAGGTGTAAAAAATTTTAAGGAGAGGCAATACCTTACACTACACCAGCTAAGCAGGCTGGAAAGCACAATCTCTCAGGTGTACAAGCTTTTATTCAAGCAAGCTGTGTAAAACTCTTATGCCCAAAAGCCTTTCTGGTTTGTGTAGCTGGTATTGATCGATCTGAGATATTTCTACACTTTACCAACCAAGGAATAAAAGAAGAACCAGCAGCATTTCTGAAAGGCATTGCAGCCATACAAGCACATCGGGTCATTTCCTCCAGGAACAAAGCAGACATCTTGACCAGGCAACTGGTAAAACACAACCTTCAAACAGTCTGATTTAAAAATGCTAGGAACAAACTTTCTTGTCAAAGTGGGAAGGTTAACAGGAGTGCAACGGAGAGGCCTGGAGAGTACCTGAAAGATTCTTATCATAGAATCATAGAATCATAGAA